CCAATCATCTGGAACTTCACCTGACTGCCAGACCAGATGGAGAGAAGGCAGAGGACAGCAGAAGGAATGATCAGACATCTAGAAAACATGGTCTGAAGAGAAAGTTTAAATCAACTAAGATATTTTTGCATAGGCAAAAATAAAATAAAGGGGAGATAATCTTCAAACAAACATGTGGAAGGTGCAGAAGTTCATACCGATTGGAAACACGGGAATAAGTCTTAGACTTGAAATAAAGAAAGGGAAATTTAGGCAAGAACATGAGGAAAAGCTTGCTTATGGTACACATAGACCCTTCAGACAGAATGCTGAAACCCTCCAAAAGAGACTGAGATGATTAGATTTCAGAGAAAGCACAGGCGCACATTTGTCAGAAGTGATTCAAATCTGAGCTTGACCTTTGGAAGAGTAGCAGGCTAGATGTGATCCTCCCAAAACTCCTTCCAATTCTGTTTTCTAAGGCTTCTCTCTGACCTGATGCACTGGATCAATAAACAATCTAGAGTAACTATTACATGGATCACTGGGGTGGCAGACAACAGTAAAAGTGCATGATGTACTGTAATTACTAATAACATGCATATGCATTTATATGACACATGTCAATGCTTTGTATTGACAGTCACAGCATGAAACAGCAGTGTAAACCATTTGGGAAAAAAACCTGTTACACATAGAAGCAGCCCATAAATTCTTACATGTAATATAGGCATTATGGAAAAAATGTCCTTAGTATGTCACAGGGGAGCCAATTACTTTCTGTCTTTACATCAGAGCCTCAGGGATCAGACAGATGTGCCAGTCTTTGGCTAAAGGAAGATAAACAGGACACTCCTGATAGGAGCATTTTAGTAAACATTTAGAATAAAAATCTAATCTAATACAGATAATTCCTAATACTTCCTGTATTCCTAATACCCTAATACAGGAAGTCCGTTTTCTTTTGTAAGAAACTGTAAAATACCATCTTCGAGGCGTCAAACTTTCATATTAATCTAGAAAAGTAAATACAATAAAGGCCCTTCTGACTTCAGCACAGATCTCTATGGGCAGAAAGCTATGCCCTGACAGACAAAGCAGGATTGGGTGATTAACATACTAAAGTGCCCTTTCCATGGGTCTCAACAGAGAAAACTCCCATTATGTACTCTCTTCGCAAGTCAGTGCAATTATAAAAAAGGGCAACTGAAAAGAACAACCACCTGTAAGACACAAGACATTTATCAACCAAACAACATACACACAGTTTTAGCCAGATGTAAATCATTAATGTTGAGACAAACTTCTACACTGAAGCGAGACTTCTACAGCTACAGAAATTATATTCTACTTTTCCTATTTTGTGTTTCTATACACCTACATACATATATATGTTATATGTATATATCTGCATGCTATAGCCTGTCAGTGTCACCCAAACTGTGAAATTCTACAGGCAGCTTTTGCTCATAAATCTAGAAAGCACTTTTTCTGTCAGTAGAACAAACCCTTAATCTACTTTCAAGGAGCTGTAAAAGACAGCTCCTGTGATTCACCCCCTCCCCTCAACAGAAGCACTGCTTGTTAATCCAGCAGGAAATAACATTTGCCAGGATTGACAGCTGTGGATTTGTATTCAATTCTCAAATTAAAAACCAATGATAGGGCCTAGTTCAATGGAGATGTCAAGCAAAATAAAGCAAGCAAAGAACCTGCTGCTTTCTCTGTAAAATACAAACATACATACATTTTGGGCAACAATACTAAAATCTGGAAAGGAGATATAATGGGATTAAAGCTCTGTGCAACCTTTCCCTTGAGGTTTTGTTTTCGAGGGGTTTTTTTTCCCCTCCAACAACTCATATTTTTTATTTTTACATATTAAGTTTTCTTCTTACTCCTAGTCTATGTTTTAAAACATGTTAGAATCTATTTCAATAACTATTCAAAACCCTGCAAAAAATACGGCGTAAAATTTTTCATAGTCAAATCAGCAAAATCCTCATATATAAAATTACTGTCCAATTTGAAGAAGGCTTAATTACAGCTCAACTATTATGAAGAGATGTAATGGCACACGTTCTAATGCTTCTGTAAAATTGCATTAATGGTAAATCAGAGTCCATCTTGGGCAGCTTCTATTGTTAAATCAGAAAAATAAGAATCAGAGATGGAAAATACCTGGCACAGTAAAGACAGGCTGTTTTCTAGTGCTGTAACAAACTGCTCTGGAGAGCCCAATGCAACTTTTTCTAGTTCTAATAGTCTTTGGAATAAATCACAATAGCATCATTCTTACTGTGAATTCAATCTTATAATTAGGAGGTTGTAATTCCTTAAGTCTCTTTAAACACTCCTCTCACTTGCTGAAAATTATACCTTTCATATACTTTCAGATGTCCATGTCCTCCAACACACTGCTTAAATAAGGGAACAGAGAACATTAACTTACCTGCAGGCCACTTCAGCAATCTGTGAAACAACAAAATGCAACATTTTTAACTTACTGCTATTTACCTGTAAGAAGTGATTCTCCTTAGGTCTGTAACAGCAACATGATAGCCACATTCTTCTAAGACTTCCTCACATGCAATTTCTTCTACAGAAAGGTCTGGTTTGTCAACAATGCCAGCGCAGAGTTCATAGGTCACTCCTACTGCAGCAGGTAAGGGATTCTCTAGACGAGAGAAGCTCTCATTATCCCGATTCTGAAAGAGTTGAGGATGATGCTTTTCTACTTCACTCATGTAAACAGCTAAAAAAAAAACCCAAACAAAAAAAAAAACACCACACAAAAGAAAAAGAAAGGGGGTGTGTGTTAGTTTGTTCATATTAAACAGAAAAAAAGATGGTACATGAATTTTGCCTGGAAATCAGAGTACTTGAAAGTAATAAAGAATTCAGTTCTGTTATCTGTTACAGGGAAATTGCAATTTTAGAGAACAAAGCTTCGCTTGCAATTTCTGTAAAATTATTCTTTAAACTCTATTTGTGCTTACATCATTTGGAGTGAATTCCTGAATACCTTAAAATAAATAGAAATAAAAAAAAGGAAGCTAGATCATCCAAGAAATCTGCATCCCAGAAGTGCCATTCAGCTTCCATTTGTTGGGCAATGCGGATATCAGGATTTAATTTAAACTATGCAGTTATCTTGCAGGGAAGTTGGGTTGTACATTACGTACCATGTGCACAATGATGAGTCTTTCAGCCTGTCAACTCAGCTGTTATTTAGAAAGGGTATGAAAAGCATGTATGTTTGTTTGAAAAAAAAAATAATCTCTTTTGAACATATAGCTCCTTGCAGAGATTCCTGTGTGGAGGCTGAAAAAGACTTCTTGAATTAATCTACGAACAGCTGCCACTGTAATGCACTCCTAAAGAAAGTGCAAATGCCAGATTTTAGTCCTTATTTGAGCAAAACCTCTCACTGATGTCAACAGAAATTTTGCCTGAGAACTGTAAGACTGAATCACTATCGCAGTTTCAAATCATTGTAACTTTAACTTGCAGGTATAATCCCATTTGTTTCTTCTTTGAAATTTCCTCATGTCTATTCCCTTGCATTCCATGAAAGGTTACCACAAGGATGTTATAAAGCAATCTGAATAAACCATTTTAAAATTTAAAATTATTTTTATTCCATTAGTTTACATGCCTATTTCATATACACATGATTTTCAAATGAGCTTATCTTTAAAGGAAGGCTGCTATGAGGTCTCACCAGAGCTTTCTCTTCAAGCTGAACAACTTTCTCAGCTTGTGTCCATAGGAGAGGTGCTCCAGCCCTCTCATCATTTTTCTGGCTTCCTCTGGACTCTCTCCAACAAGTCCACATCCACATGCAGTACTCCAGGTGGGGTCTCACGAGGGCAGAGTTGAGAGAAGAATCACCTCCCTCAACCTACTGGTCACACTACTGGTTTCTTACTTGAGGACATGACTGGAGCTTAGTTTTCTTTTTTAAATGCAGCATGAAGGCAGGGGAAAAAAAAAAAATTCCATGCAGACTCTGAGGGACAGATCCTTGATAGGTGTCAATGGTCATTATTCCAAAAACTTCTAAAAGCTATGGCAATTACCAAAATGACAACTGCCTCCAAGATACCTCTATGAGCCAAATACTCTTAAGGTTTTATTGCTTTTTTATTACTGACATACCCGTATCAGTAAATACAAAAAAGAGTAAGACATGCATCCTGCTAAGGGACTTGGGCATCAAAACATGATGCAGGTAAGAATGTGCAGTACAGACATATGAAACTGTGATTGAAGTAACTCTCTGTTACAAGTCTGTGAAACCCCTAAAACGCATTCTGTAATTCCAACAGGCACCTGCCATTCTTCTTCTCCCTCAGCACAGCTGGGCTCCACGTACAGCAAAACCTACGTTCTCAGAAGCACCTAATCCAGAAGTCCTCTTCAGAGTAAAGTCCTGCAATATGCCAACATTTAGAGCCCAGTAACAGCTTTGCTCTGTAGATAAGGAAGAAAAGAAGCAGGACCAGCCACTTCCTTAAGAGTCTAAATATTAGAGCATTCACCAAGAAGCTGAAGTACAAATTCAATATGAGGGTTGCAAAGGTTCAAACAATTTATCTCTCACAAAGCCTACAAAACCAAGCTGCCTGCTAGTATCAAGGAACAAAGGAGACTGCACAAGCAATGCACCAGGGGAAATAAAGCACTGGATGGAAAAGCAGTCTGTGGCTTATTGACTAGGGCACACTCTTTGGAGGGAAACCTGAAACTCTCCCCTTCCTCATTACAGGTTATAAGCTTATTGCAAATGCAGAGAGTGTGGAGAGCAGAAACTAGAAGCAAGAGCTCAGCTCCCAGCACAATTACCCACTCACCAGGCCCCTGTCTGATTTCTTTTTTGTCTCCTGATGGCTTATGCTAATTTGGTCAGGAACTGCCACTTCATCATCACCAGCCTGCCTCCTCCACCATCAGAGACATGCGATGAGCAACAGCACAGTTATGACTCGACCAACCTCCTAGTACTCATTAGATATCTTGACTCATTACCCTAGAGCCACTCAGCTGCAAGAAGTCTCAGTGGAATTGATGTACTTGCCTGCCTTTCTGCAAAGCTGGGACAAAGGATAGATGGCTCAACCAAACTCATCAAATAAGATCGTAATGGTTATTCAAAGCAGCCTTGTCAGATGACTCAGACAAGGACTTGTTTGCTATCCCTAAAGAGAAGAAAACAACAGTACAGACTGAGGGGCTGGTGGGGTTTAGTTGACTGGGAAATGTGATAGCTTTTCTTTAAACTTCTGATTTCTCTTTGATTGGAACCAGTGTTTCGTATCGCCTGAAAGAGAACATGGCTTATGATTCAAGTCTTTGATACTGCATATTTTAAGTCACAATCCATTGAAAGGTCATTGTACTTACAGTGAAAAAAACAGGACACACATTCACAGGAACTTTCTCAGGAACCTTTGTTATTTATTTATTTATTAGATTCGAAAACATGTGGTCAATCGACCACCAAAATGAGCACTGCTCAAGACCTTTGCAGTCAGTAAAGGGTAAGGAACTAATATGGAAACTACTGAGATATACCTGTAATTTTTTTCCCTCTGCTCCTTCCAAATGTGTAATTTAATGATCATTCAAGATGAGAAGGCCAACAGCATCGTGGGTATCAGAAATAGCATAGCCAGCAGGGCTAGGGCAGTGATCATCCCCCTGTACTTGGCACTAGTGAGGCTGCACCTTGAATCCTGTGTTCAGTTCTGTGCCCCTCAATACAAGAGAGATACTGGAGGTGCTGGAGCAGCTCCAGAGAAGGGCAACGAAGCTGGTGAAGGGCCTGGAGCACAAGTCTGATGAGGAACGGCTGCGGAAACTGGGGGTGTTTAGTCTGGAGAAGAGAAGACTCAGGGGGGACCTTATCGCTTTCTACAACTACCTGAAAGGAGGTTGTAGTGAGATGGGGGTCAGTCTCTTCTCCCAAGTAACAAGCCATAGGACAAGAGGAAATGGCCTCAAGCTGCGCCAGGGAAGGTTTAGTTTGGATATGAGGAACAATTTCTTCACTAGAGGGTGTTCAGGCATTGGAACATGCTGCCCAGGGAAGTGGTGGAATCACCGTCCCTGGAAGTGTTGACAAACCGTGTAGATGAGGCCCTCAGTGACATGGTTTAGTGGTGGTCTTGGCAGTGCTGGGGTAATGGTTGGACTTGAGGATCTTAAAGGTCTTTTCCAACATAGTTGATTCTATGATTCTACGATCTAAGTCCACAGTGCACTAAAGAATATGGTCCTGTCTGTCCCACTCTGGCTGTGTGCTCCTGCCACGCCACAAGCCAGCATGAACTCTCTCAGGTCAGTCTCATAGGCTGCCTAATCCTCAACATTTCTGTTTGCAGCCATGTAAGATCTCTGCTGCAGCCACACAAAGGCTGGTGCTGCGAAAGGGAATGGAGTGGGAATGTACACACAGGGAGGGATGAATTCTCTTACATGCTGCATAGACTTCAATGGGAAAATGGTATTGTGACACCTCACCTTAAGGAAAAGCAAGCACATATGTCAACCTGCAAACGTGCAGAGGACGTGTCTGGTAGAGAGAGTGGCAGCTCTATGCTCAGAAGTAATGAGCTACCGCTTTGCTGGTGGGACTCATAGGAGCCAGCAAGGAGAGAAGTCTCAGTCTTCATTTTTGCTTTGTGGAACAGGCACAAGGCACACAATAACCATGGAATGGCAATATAATTAAAGTGATGTGAGTAACGTCAGGGCATGGTTATGATCACTAAACTGCTATGGGGTGTCTGACTGACCACTCTCCCTCTGGCCAGGTTTCTGGGCAGCTCCAGCCTCCGGAACAGTTTAACTCCAAGAACAGTCTAGACTTTTGAGGCAGATTTAACACTTCCATATGGATGATGTAATGAACATGTTGCTGTTCGGCACACATGCACATATATATATATATATGCACATATATGAAGGCTTCTGCCTGAGATAGCCTCAAAGAGAGCAACAGCTATATGAGCCATTTCATCCGGCTGGCAAATAAAAGACATTGGATTAGCGATAAACAAACACACACTTTATAATAGTCAATATAGTGCTTCATGGGAAGTATGGACTGTCAGTATAACAGTGCCGCACAACACTGAAGAGCCTGTCAGTAACTGTCACTACACAAGGACAGCATGACAGCACCCTAGAAAGTTTCCCATAAAGTCTACCATGAACAGTCTTGAAATGGTCTCTTAGCAACAGTCAGTGAAATATCTTCCGATATTTTTAGTTAACATGCCAGAATATGCATTTAATTTTTAACCTCCAGAAAGTAAATATTGCTTCGAATTAAAATTACTGATACAAAAACTCAGGAAAAAATAATAGTACATTAACCAAAATTCATAATAATAACTGGTAAAATGAAGCTGTCCACATATACATAATGATGAAAAGCATGCAGTCTCGTATTTCCCTCATTATAAATTCCCAAGTGTACAATGCACAACAACACATTAAAAAAAAAAAAAAAAGAATATTTCAGGAAAAAAAGAAAAAAGGAAAAATAATTGTGCTTCTGAACATTACTAGATAGGTCAAAAAGGAACTTAAAATAAAAGTATATCTATTGCTATTTGTAATTTCACCCCAAAAATGACAATGACTAGCCCAAAAGCAGAATGTAAGGCTACCCTGATCTGTAATGGAAATTTCCCTGGTTAGAAATTCTGACCAACTGAAAGGGGTGGGCTACCATACAAAGAAACGGAATATAGAACAAAGATTTTATCACCACAGATGCACCAACTTTTAACTGCTAAACCCTTAAAAGCTTGCTTCGCTAGAGAGCAAAAGTAAATCTAAAAAAAGAGGATTACCTGGGCGGAACTGCTTCACCAGAACAAAGCACTGCCGAGAAGTATTAAAGATCAGGATTGACACACTGAGGAAGAAGGTAAAAAAGAAATAAAAAATCAATGCTTTATGAAGGATTAATGCAGAACTATTAAACTTACATCTTGTGAATTTAACTACATAAATATATAGAAGATTCATTACTAAAGCCACAATGCAACAAAATCCTTGTCCAAAAGCCATCAAGAGGGATAGATAATGGGTTGTGTTCCCAAAGCCCCTGAGAATTTACCCAAAATTAAGTCACTTAAGACCAAAATGGTCTCTTGCCACGCAAAGT